AGAGGCAGGGGCGAATGGAAGATTGTTCTGAAGAAGCCTTTGGCTCATGACGAGCTGAAATGCCACTGATATGATGAAATAACTATCCACGATTTGTGTTTTATTCATCAATTGGAGACTTTTCTTATGTAACTGCAACCTATAAATATATTAAAATAATGTATATTCCATTCAGAGAACTTTTTCCTCGCAGTGCGTCCGCCTCGAAATACTTGCCAGATAAATACATTTACTATTATGATGGTTTCGCAGGTACCAATTTTTTATAGATAAATAAAAATTTTTTTTGTTTAATTTTTACTACGCTAATATCAGTTTTCTCTAACAAATATTAACAAAATATTAATTATGTATTAATATTAATATAACAAAATTTAAATTTATTATAAATAAACACCATGGTGTTTTTTGCAGTCACGTTTCACAAATTTTTATTTAATACTATGTTTAGCTAAGACATATAAATTAAAAATGTGATTAATTATTTTTAAAACATTATCTACGATAATTAATCTAAAAATAAGTATTCCGACAGGAGAATAATGCATTTATTTTAAACAACCCGTGGGCCGGCGCCACTGAATAAACATCCAAACTATTAGGAAGTCACGTAGGGTCTGACATAGCAGTGTAGAAAAGTAAGTGATACGCCCACTTCAAATCGCAGTATGCTATAGAATAGTATGTTCAGAACGATTTCGGAAGTGGAAATTGAAACGTCAATAAACGTATTTCTATCTTTAATTGTGGCTTATTCCCAGTTTAATAGTAATTAATTTACAATGCCACAAGAAAATGGCTTCAGAACAATATAAACAAATTATGTAAACAAACTTTGTTTAATTTGAAACAGAAATGTTGATATTAAGAATTTTCAACTAAAATGGTGGTTAATTCCCATTGGAGATAGTAGATAACCTAGGAAAAGAAAGGTTAGCAGAAAAAAAAAAAGAATTAATTACCGATTGATCCTTTCGATGCAGACGATGTAGTATTATTGATAGAAGAACATCTAGCAAAATTACCACTCAAGTTAAAATAATTGAAAGAAAAATCAGAAAATGGAGGACTAATTAGTGTGAGCCACACAAATATATTAAGCATTACCCGAGACTTTTCTTCGATCTACAACTATAAGTGAGTCCACTCCACTCTTGCCGGTTTTATGCATAAATCTACTATTTTTGCACCCCATCTTACGTAGATAAACCGTTACTACATCTTTCCATCTTTCACTTCACTTTCAGCAAAAAATATCCTTCGGAACTCGGGATAAAAAATGGCACTGTAGATGGTCCTGGAGACTATCGCAAAGCTTTATACTGGTTTCTGTACTTTTAAATTTTAAATATTATTTTGATAATTGAATAAAGTAATTTTTTCCATAGCTAATGTTGAAGTGTTGCTATAACAACTGTTTTGAGTAGATAAAGTATCACTTTAACCGCAAGGGTAGATAAAGTGACACTTTAACAGCAAGAGTATTTTAAATGTTTAACTTTTTTTATTCAATAAAATTTACAAATTCAAACACATTAAGGCTGTTTTCGCAGTTATATTATTCCCAGTTTAATAATTTGTTTATTTCGACAAATTTAACAAATTATTTTGTTTTGTTTATTAACATACTTAATTTGTTTATTAATCCATCTAGTATTGTCCATTCTCGCTACATGCAAATCTCCATTTATTTTTCATTATGTTTGTCCTAATGTCTTCTATTTTGGGTTTTCTCCAAAATCCATTTTAAACTCATTTTATCTGCCTCATTCATGGTGGTTTTCAAACCACGTGACATTAGCTGGAGATACGGATGGTATAATAAATATACCTACTGAAACGTATCCAGACTTATTCTCATATGGGTGATGGTATTCTCCTAGATACTGCCTTTTTTATTTATAGGATGAGCCGAAAGCTGGTGATTTAAAACAAAAATGATCTACTACTTTTTACTTAAAGACATACATTCACTGTCGTTTACATTCACTTCTGTTGCTTGTGTACTCATGTACATAATTTTATAAGGTCAAAAGGCTAACTTTCTCGGAACACATGTCATTCGCCTCAGAAACCGCAAAGAAAACTGAAAGGAAGGTATCTTCGGTATCTTCTGCCCGTTATCCAAGAGCGACCTCCACCGCGCCCATCCATGTATCTTCCGTATGTGCGTATCCATACATTTAAATGTGACATATAAAATGTGACGATGTAATATTATGTATCAGCGTAAAACCTGGAAAAAATACGAGTAAAAACAAGCCATTCCTACCTTATTTTATTCATGAAAACATTTTGATTTCGTTGCGATTTGATTATCATATTCGCTTACAAAGTATGATAAACTTGCGGCCTGTTATCCACAGTGGTCGCCTTTGTATTTCATTAGTTCCGTTTTAGTGCTGATATCTATATCCCAGATACTGATTGAATTAGAAAGTAGATATATATATATATATATATATATATATATATATATATATATATTATAATATATATATATAATATATTGAAAAGCCAAATATGTGGCGTAGGAGGATAAATTCGTCAAACCTCCTCCTGTGTTCGAATCGGTATCAATAGAGTTGTATGACGTCATTTCAGCATCCCTATTTCGTCAGACACTCGGACTGATACAAGTTCAAACTCGGTAAGTCCAACTGATGTCTCCGGAACATTTTCCACTTCATTGACTAGCGTTCCCACGGCGCGAACATTAAATACATCAAACTTCAGTATGTTGTAAATAAACGTATAAGCTGATGTCAGATCAATTTATTGAGACGAGTTCACGAAGTCTGTTTCACAAGAAATTATTCTCTTTTCAAAATGTTCGTGAAATATGAATTTTGACCGTATAGCACGTTGTATTCTATTGAAACACAGACTTCGTGCACATTAAAGAAAATCTCTCACAAACGGTGTTATAATGTTCTCTGTACAACACTATCGATTGACAGTTCTATAATCTCATGTAAAACTCAGTATACCAAAATGATAACTCGTTAACTGTGATGTGGTTTCTCTACAATGGCATCTGGATGTTCAAAACCTATCAAGAAAGAAATAAGCAGAAGTACTAGATAGTAGAGATAAACGTGAAAAGGTGTGTTGTCAAAGATTTATTATAACATCAACTCCCTCGGTATGTGAAAATTTTAACAACTTTAAATTACTACAATTCGAACAAATCGAATATTTATTGAGTTTAAAATAAATAACTAATTAACTTTTTATAATAATATACTTTAAACTATTCAAGATATGGAATTGTTTTTATTGTTATATATGTAATAACTGACTATGTTAGCCTTTAAAATGACCCCGTATAACGCAATTTTCTTTTATTTTCAAGTTTATATTGTAATTTATGTGCACATTTTGTGCACTTTATGAACCCTTGCGAAATATGAACCTATTTTGCGTTACGTACTGTTCATAAAAATTTATCGCTAGGGTGGTTTACAAAATTAAAGTTTATTATTTGGTCCCCTTTATTACGAGGGGGTCAAAAATTGTATATAAAATTGGCATCAGGGACAGATAAACTTATTTACCAAAAGAAAAATGACACCCTTAACAAACGTCAAAATAGCAATCAAATGAAAACATAATAATATATTTAAATAGTCGTATTTTAAAGGACTTTGATCATACAGGCTGTCCTAAACTATCTTTTATTAAAATTTTAAACCATATCTCTCCAATAGTGATTTGTTTTTCTTGTTATTATCACCACGTCGTGGATATAACATTCGAAGAAAATGCTAATTTCATCCTCGAGGGTGCTTTAAAGGTCCACCACCGGGAGGATTCCAACGTAGAGTGGTCCAGGCCGATGAGGTTGGGTGTGACATTAAGTCATCCATCTATTATTTTAATAATCCATTTCTATATTTTAACCCCGTTTTCATTTAATTTATAATTAATTCTATTTCTATCTTATCTATCATTATATTCTTTCAAAGTTGTATTCGATTCACCGGCGTCAAACCATCGTCTAATACTTCTTCTTAGATTAAGGAAGGGCAGATGGTAAGAAAACAAAACACAGTATTTTTCATAGACAACCATATCCAGCAAAAGAAGTCTATTCCTCGGGCTACAAGCTCATATCGAGAAAATAAAAGTAAAGTGGCACTTACTAAAAACAGCGGAGACCCAAAAGGAGCCCTAAAGGAGCATAAAGCCCTATGATGGAGAGGGTAACGGATTCGCTGTGCTCTGAGACTGAAGAGAGCGATTGCTCTGGCGATTGTCTTGAGGTGTCGCATATTTATCTGTTTTGAAAACAACGATGGACACTTTAAGCACTTTATTAATAGCAATTATTAATATTCTCGAGAAGAGGGGCGATGCGTACTGAAATGCGCATTAGGTTCAATCTTATAGCATACGGTGACACTATATTACACGTTTTGTCGCTTTTAGTATACATTACTGTTCTTAATACGTTAGCATCGCTATTACACACCTTGTAGATTCTTAGGTTTTTATCACACAGTTCCCTAGATATTTATGTTAGTTTTCTAGGTATTCATATGATCGATATGCTTCCTTGCTGGCTGGTAAGTTTTCATGTTCCGTTATGAATTGTTTATAAGCAAATATGTCTTACTGATTAATTATATTTTTGCATTAAGTCCCTGAATAAAATTGTGCACTCATGATCGGTTATATTATCTCATCGTTGGAGTACATGCTACATAGAACTATAATATAAAGAGTATATGTCTCGTCCTTCGTCATTTCCCATCTTCGAATTTCTTAAGCTGGGTATCCACTATATTCGCGGACCTCTTCTGCTCCACATAATGGGTACGTTTGCGCTCCCGGAGGAGCAAAGGTGCGCGCTCCAATAGGTGAGGGTAAATTGGCGAACACAAAGGTGAGCTCAGTCTATTAGTGGATGCGAGCAAGATATCCCGAAATTTAAAAGAAGAGCCTGGGTGGAAATCGAAAGAGGTATGGACATATCGAGGCAAATAAGCAAAGATAAAATGAAAATTCTGGTTTCGTGGTTTCAAAGAGAGAAATCAAAACAAAAGAAAGCAGTGGGACTGGGAAAGGTAGGTAACTGGAGCATTATTAAGTGGTATAAAATAAAGATAATTGTGCACATTTAAGTGCATCAGCAATATGTAGAAGTAATAGATTCGCGTTTGAAGCATTGTTATTTTTAATGGATCGCTAATGCTAATTTATCTAGAGCCGATATGGCTTTTCAAAATTTTGTGTCTTTTTTTTGTATTCCTGTTAGAAACTAATTATGCGATTATTCAAAATTAGATGAAGACATTTGCATTAAGTTTTTATTATTGCCACTTAAATCCTGACACTGTTAAATCGGACGTCTTTTCTTGTAAATATCAGATTCCCAATAACTAGGAGGGCTTCTATAGCCTTCGACAAGATAATGAAATAAAATATATACTGCACAGCAATTAATAGTGACATGTTCACTTAAAGGTTCCTTCGTTGAAAACGGTGGACTGTGGAGTGCACGAGGAGGAGGCGTGTTTAATGTAGAGGATCGCATGTCGTTAACCATTTAAGCAGTTACAGGAGTGCGGAGCAAGAGAAGTTCGCGAACATAGTGGATACCTACCTTTACAGAGTAGTTATATTAATATTGTAATCTTCTAATTTTTGTACAACATTAACAATTTTTGCACGTTCAATGTTCCTATTTTTAAGGTGTGCTCTATTCAATATTGAAGATATCTGATAATATGCTCATGTTTTACATCCCTGCTAGATCACGAAGTTGAATAGAATTGTTGAAATATACAAATTGATTATTTTTTGTATTATTTGTAACATGTCTTGTAGGTACTATTAAGAAAAAACAAAGGAAAACATATTCGTCATAGAAATAATTGTGCCCTCTTTGGAGTGAAGTTACACATTACAAATTTAAATGTGTTCTTTTTTTTGTGTATTCAATTCGTTTGTAGAGTTTCCATATTTCTTCTTTACTTATTGCTACACCAAAAAATTTAACAGGTCCTTTGTAGACGATTAATATTTAATTTTTTATAGTTTATTTTTATGAACGAGAGAGTAATTAGCATAATTTTAACTGGTACCTCCGACCACTCCATGGGCGTGCTCAAGATTAATTGAAAAATTACTTTGAATAATTGTAAAAAATAAATGAATTATTTCAGTGTTATAAAGTGTTATGTGTATGTAAACAAAAGTGACCTCTTTTATCACACACTATATTAGAACTGACTGGCCTACATTAAAAAGGGTTTTAAAAAATTCACATTTTTTTTAATTTTTAAAAATTACAAAAGAGAAAAAGAGTTTTTAAAACCGTCTAAGGTATGTTAAATAGATGAATAAAAATATTAATATAAAACTTACAGCTACTTGTTACAAATCCAAATCAGATTCAGAAGATGAACTTTCAGAACCAAGATTTATAATAACTGGCTCGATCATTTTATCAGTAATATTGTCCGTTTCCACATTTTTTCCTCTTCTTTAATAGTGTGATTTACTGACTTTTCCCAGTTTTCAGGTTTTACATTATTTACGGCCTCCAAAAACAACTGTTTAACATCATGAATTTTAAAAGTGGTATTTTTTCTTGAAACTTCACTCTTTACCTGTGCCCATACCAGTTCAATCGGGTTTAATTCACAATGATATGGTGGGGATCTAAGTACTGTCATTCCACGATTTTTGGCAATTTCATCAATTTCGTATTTTTAAAATTTTTCTTTATGAAGGGCACACAACGAATAAAGTTCCTTTCTTATAGATCCGGGATGGTACGTAATATTTTTTGAACTCAGCCAATTCTGCAAGTCTTTTTTTAACCACTTGGTTGTGGGCAGTCCTTCTATAAGTCTGGAGTGATAACTTGCATTATCCATTACTATTACACAGTTCTTAGGAAGAAGATCTATCATTTGTTCGAACCATTCTTGAAAGACATCAGCGTTCATGTCTTCATGGTAGTCACCGGTACGAGTTGATTCAAAAGTTAATAAACCACCTTCAACAAAACCGTCTGAACTGCCAATGTGTACTATTATCAGCCTGCGTCCGTTTCCGATGGTGGTTTAAACCAGTAGATAAGTTATTTACAAAAGCGTGCCTTTGACTTGTAACAGTTTCATCCTGCCAAAATTTATTTGGTGTATGACCCTCGTTGATCCATGTTTCATCAAGATAAAATATTTTTCTTTTTTGGTTTCTCATTTCCTTTATGGTTCTTAGAAAATGTCTTCTCCATATGACAATATCGCTTCTTTCTAATAAAATAGACTTTCTGGGATTCTTTTTCCAGCGGAAGCCTATTTCTTTTAAAAGTTTCCATAACGTACTTCGACTCATTTCTGGGTAATCCTTATCATCTCGAACTGAGACAAGAACTTTATCCAATGTTGGAAATTCTTGTCTAAAGAAGAATTCATGCACTTTCCGTCGAAGTCCTTCTTTAAAATGATATTCTATTTGAAATTTTGGTTTCCCTGGAGCATTACGTGGCATTTGAAAACTACCACATTTCTCTTCTTTAATAACTCTGTAAATCGTAGATTTCCCAACACCAAGTGTACTGCTAACTAACTCAACGGTCTCATCAACACTTTCACATAAACGTTTGTCTGTAAATGATTTAAAACAATTAAATATTAATGTTTTTTCATTAACTGTTAAAGGACCAATTTTTCGGCGTTTACACGGCACTTCCAAATTTTCCATAACACTAGTATACACAATAAACTGCACCTTGCAACTGAAGTACCTACTTTTAGTGAACTGTTAAGAATTTTAAATACGCCACTTGGACCTTCCTACAAAATGGAAAAACCCACTATCACATTTTCTGTGGAATAAGTTTAGAAGGTAATTATCTAGTCAATTACTGTCGTAGATTCCTGGAATTAAAGAATTAAATGTTTGATTGTTGAAACCCTTACTTCGTGGAATGCACTCATTTCAGATAAAATAAAACGTTTTATTTTATCTAAAGAATTAAACTTTATTTTGCAAATAGGTAGGTACTTATTAAACTTTTATTGGTTATATATAACCAATAAAATAAACATCTTACATTTCTTTGCAAATTCATTAGTACCTGTTAACCTCCATCACTCCGACACTGGCAACCTTATTTAGGGATTAGTAACCCTCACAACTATTGTATTCTATTCTGCTCCAACCTTTATACCTGGTGGTCATACTCAATTTAAAAATGTTTTCCTATATACTTCTGTAAACTTGTTGACAAATATCTGTTTTTCATTGAGTCACCCGTATCAACAGTTTAGGGATTTGCATACATAATTTATTGTTTTATCACTCTCTCATACATAAAAATACACTATAATAGCAGATTTCTATGAGTCGGCTCGGAACGCAGATTGACTATTTAACTACTCTTTGGCTGAATTCAAAACTACGAACTATATTCTTATTCAGAAATGAAATTAAATCTAGTTACTAAATTAGTTTCAACATGTTTTTTTTATATAAAATTTCATTCATTTTCTCATAGAGACACCGCTATACTGATAAGGAAGATAAAGATGCTTCTCGGCCTCGTTCAACCACAACTTCCTGTTAAAAATAAAAGTTGACGAATAACGTTTATATGTCGCATATATTATGTAACAAAAACTGAAAACAGTATTCCCTATACGAATTAATTTTCCTGAAAAATGGATGTTGTTTTTCCTGTTCTACGTATTATGCTCCAAATGTGAGGATTATGACAGTTTATTGTCGCATTTTTTGAATATAAAATGATTTATAGAATAATGTTATGAAGAACCGCCTTGAGAAAAAATACATCGACGACGATGTCTAAAAATATAAAGAATCTTACAAAAATAAAATAGAGTCGCAGTAAGCCAATTTGGATATAATATATTTACTATACAGGGTGTTTCACGTAGACTACACACTATGAAAACAAATTATATGATAAAAATATAATACTAGTCCAGCTAGATGCAGCTGCGTTACTCAGAAAAAGATCATACAAGATTACACAGCAAAAAACCAAAAGGGACAAATATTATATCGACAGTGAAGAAAAACTTAAGCTACACACGAGACTAAAACGACCCAATGAAGTAGATGTGACGATAAGACTTCTAGAAAGGCCTTTCAGCTTTAGTATAATTTAAAAAATGTCTGTAAATAAATAGATAGCTCTAAAATGAAAAGCTACAGCTACTACGTTGCAACGAACGCAAACTCCTGCTAATAGAACATTATATAAAAGAGCTAACAATTGATTAAATCTAACAAATAAAGGTCCAGATGTACAATCATTTAATGACCATTTAACTGCTCTTAACATAAATTCTATAATGATAATTCTATCTAGAAATCAATAAAATCGAAAAACAAGCTTCAAATGCAGATTTCTCCTATAAACAATTTATGCACTTTAAAGCTGCTGAAATAATTTTAATAATAAAAACAGAAAAACACCCAAATAAAGTCTAATCTTAAGACCAATCATTTTATTACCAATACTAATTAAGGTATCAGAAGGAATAAAAATGTTTCTATCCCCGAGCAATGTATTTCTTTACATTTACACCAATTCGGCTTTAGACAAGGTCACTCAAAAATTCAGCAAATACACTTAATAACGTATTCAATCAAGCTAGCGATAATATATAACAAGTACAGTCCATTGGTATTTCTGGATGTTAGCTAGAACTTAAAATATTAATTTGTCATCATGTAGTGTTGTACAAAATATTCTAACAATTTTCCCCTTGCCTTTTTTGGCTTTAGGATTAGTCCATGCAGCCAGAAACGAATTAAGTATTAAGTCTAGCTTTTTTGTTTTTAATTTTTAGTGTAAAGTTACCTCAACCTGACCGACCAGTTCGTTAAGATTATAACCATGGACGTATACGTCCATGATTATAACGAACTTTTTTTCTACTTCTCAGTGTCACTCGACACTGAGGAGTAGAAGGAGGACACTATTTATACAAAACACGATACTAGTACGTCACGAGTGACGGGAGTAAGCAGATTGAGACACCGAACTCGAACGGAACCGTATCACTCTTGACAATGGCTCCAA